CTACAAAACAGCATCGATCTGTTTTCTGTGTGTATACGATTTCGGCCACATATTAAGTTCTATTAATTACCGTCCCCGGTTCGGTCACAAGAATTAGTCAAACCTGGTTGCGTAATGTTAATTAACAAAGCAAAAAGTACAATAAGCTCAAAAATTCAATTTATTCTGCCTTTCACTTAGTATATTAGTGTACTGATTAATGTTTATATCTTCTCGGAGTTCTACTGTGTATTTCTAAATTATGCATTTTATCCACTTATCAGATAATGAAATACAATGATATTTATTTACGCTATGCATCAAGAATTTTAGTGGTGTTTATTCTCAGGTATGCTAGTTAAGTGTTGCAGAAGTTTAAAAAATGTGCGTTCTCGTCAGATGCGCATTATTTTATAACCTATTTTTGAATCCTGAATTAAAGTTCTACTGCATATATGCATATATGACTTACTCTGAAATATATTTCCTAATAAATTCCGCAATCTTTATCGCTTCAGTTGACATGTGACCATTGAAGAGAGAACCCACTCAATAATAGTGTCGTTAGAAGGGTGATAGGTTAGAAGAACGCTGGAAAACTTTCCAATTCTATCTAACCTCATCCGCAAGCTTATGTATGTAAACTTATCCGGAAACGTCTTCTCATTATAAGCTCTAGTTTGAGGTGAATCTGAACTGACGACTTCGAAGAGTTTGGCTCCAACCACGAAGTAGTGTACTTCCTGTATTCAAGTAATACTGTCAACTTCGCATCGTAGAATGCAGGAGGATCGTATTTTGAAGAAGTTATAAATCGGAAGACAACAGTTCTTCAAAAACCTTCACTTTTACATTAGGTTCTCAAATTCGTGTAATTTGGTTATGAGACAGGTAACAGTAATTCAGTCAGTTCCCCAAAATTCCCTAAAAGGGATGTTTGACAATATGAATATGGATAAGGGAGGGATAAGGCAGTTTGCACAGCCAGTCATTCAGCTTCAATCACCAAATATCGTTAGTTATCAAATCAGTTAAGCCTGTTCAAATATAATCCACTTAATGCTGAGTTCATCACTCACCTAAGGTCGTATTACTGTTCTTATTTCAATTATCTTCAATTTAATTTGAATTCACAAACCGGAGATTCTTTCATTCCAGCAAAAAAACAGAATCATTCTTCTCGAGACTTGAAATCACAGGCGATTGTTCCGAACACTCGATCCTAAACCTCTATCATCATATAAGTCACTTCATGTATAGTGGATATCAGCTTTTATTATCTGTGTATGCCATCAGTTATTACCGGTTGATTTTACTAGGCTAAATGACTGCACGACTGACTGGTTATCATCAGATTAATATATTTGTGAATACTCGAGCCAGCTACTACCTTCTTTGAACATCATCCTAAATGGTTGAGCAATCGACATTCAAGATCTATTCGTGGCTCACTCTGTAAACATTGAGCATAAAGTTGATGATGAAAATACATAATTTACAATTATTTATCGCATTGCAGCTAATCTCAGTTTAGCCTTACAACTTTGTCTTCTATGTTCGACCGAAGCCATCAGCATCCAACTCAATAAGCCACACTGATGTATCCAGAAGACATCTGTACAGATTTGGTCATCGTTACATGAATGTAAACACCTAACTATTTAGAATTCACAAATAAGCCTTCTACAAATTATTATCCTCCAGACTACTTTATTCTCCTGAATACATTATCTTTAATTGCCTAGTACGTGATCAGCCTGAACACTCGCTTGTTCCCTACTCTTTGTCTTTTCACAAATTATGCATTATGCAGTCGACGTGTTGTAAGCCTTTCTACCCTTCAATTGTTTGTGCCGATTTTCTTGGTGAACTATCACCCCCCCCACCTGTCATGTTGACATTGACTATTTATCGTTAACAAACTTATCACCACTAGATTGGTAAAATTATTTGTATTGTGTTGGTTTGTGGGGATTTGATTCGACTGGTTACAGGATTTCATGCTGAGGTGTCACTGGTTAGAGAAGCATTGGACAACGTGAGAGTACTGGACGGCTGTCTCGTCAGCCTAGTTTGGGACTCATCAACCGCATGCACAATCAGGTTTCGAACCCATCACCTTCTCACTACAAGGCGAGCTCGTAGACCATCCACCCACTGGGATATATACACATTTATATGTATACCAGTGAAGTCATTTCTGAGAAATCACAAATAATCTTCATCTGAAGAAACGCTTCCTATCATCTGATCAACTACCAGGTGCATTTCTGTTAGTTCGAAGTCTTATTATCAGCCTACTTCTCATTTGAAGTCATATACAAGTGGCTAGTTTTATTGACTATTATTTGCAAGTGGACTGAGATTCCGGTGTACATAACAGCGTCCCATATAGACAAGTTGTCAGAAATATTTACAAAATGAGATGCACACTCAATTCACCTATTCATGTTTTAAATTCATATCAATATATTGGCGCGATGTGTATAGGCAAGTATGTATGAGAGACGTTTCTTAAAATGTTACATTGACCGCGAACCACACTCATTATTTGTTTATTTGGTTGATTGTTTGTTTTCGGCTGACCATGTATGTCTGTTTTATGTGTGTGTGTGTGTGTACAAGAGGTAACCAGTTCGATGTAATGATGATGATAGTTGCAGTAAATTTAATAATTCAAATTACAAATTTATTCTTATTGTTACTGGAACTAAACCTGACCTGAAATAATATTGGGTAATTGTCATTGTCATTATTATTATTACAGACTACTTCACCGTAATACGAAATACACATCAGTGTAGACTAGTTAAACACTTCAGACAAATTATTTCGCCATTCTATGAAAGTGAAGTCAGTTTGACTTGGAATAGTTACTTATTCAGTTGACTTCTTGTGAAGTTTTTAGAGCACCCACGGTTATACTTCTTCTTATGTTCACGAATTAACAGATTTTAGACATTAAAAAATATAATCACCAGAACACATAGTAAAATCAGAGGTTATATTCTATTAGATTCCTGAAAGGGGTAATTATCTAAGAAGTATAGATGGAGGTTTTCGGTAGCCGAAATTTAAGCAGGCCGCCTGCGACAGATAATTCTCTGGACTGTCACACTCTCACTTCACACTTGTAAACTGTTTCTGAATCATAATATGCGACCACCCTTCATTTGAATAGAAGCAGGTTATGCATTTAAATGAACTAAGTAACTGACGATAGAGAAGTGGTGTGAATCGATAGTCTTGTTTCATTTTGACACGTGAGTTTTGAATAGTGTTCACAAGTTGTGTTAATGTATCAATTACTGGATATTTGAATATATTCAATGTGGCGTCTTTAGAGAAAATGACAAAGTCGTTGAGTTGATAAGAGAAATTCACTTTGTCCGGTAGATCTACGTACATAGACATTGACAGCTGGACATTGTCCAAGTGCACCTATGCAGGTGTACAGGCATGGCTGACAAAAGATAAAAGTAAAACTGTCAACAACTCAATTTTGGACCATTACATTACTTCATGCCACTTAGCATCAGTAGGCACTTTCTTCAGAGTGACATATAAAAAACCACCAATTCGTTCGAAGTGATTTCGCTTACTTCTTCACGCAGTCGAAGTCTTAGCAATCTGTAAGTGGAAACCTGAATTTTCAGTTCAGAAACGCTCTATCCAACCTCTTCTACTATCATCGCCTTAGTGTTATTTCTCCATCATTACGACTCTTGAGCAGACTAGTATACGAGTCAATAACAGATTCTCATATTATCTATAAATACTCACATCCACAACCAAAACACTAAATAAATAAATAAATAAATAGATATATACATGGAATAACACTGTTTCAATGGGAAATGTTTCTTCACTGAGTCGTTTTCTGTTCATGACACTGTAAGCTGTGATAATAAGGAAAAAAGAAATCTATTAATCCTAATTCATTTCGACTTATCTAGAAGAGTTTTCAGGTGAGATTGATACAGCCTGATGAGAGGAGAAATGAAAAGAGACAGGAGACATACTTGTGATGCAATAACTACAATACACTGAATAGCCTCATTAATGTGCAGTGAAAAGAACAAAGCATGTCTAGTTCAACTGTTACTTAGAGTGTGGAAAGTAAATCCTTGAACTCCTAGTCTTTGGTATTTCAGTTGGCCTCTTCTGGGTGATTTATACATCAGTGATTTATTACACACACACACAGACACACACAAACTGATGAAGTTACGTTTCGCAATCAAATTAAAACTCCCTGTAGAAAACATATTGACTGTAGTTATTGTGTATGTTGTCTTGTGTATACCATGAGATATGCAGGTCAAGCACACAATACCCCAACTGATGATGGGTCAGATTTGTTGTCATAATATGCTCATCACCATCATCATCATATTATGTGTAGTCGTCACCTGTTGTGAATATTCGTATGACTGTCCTGGTAGCTAGACAATTTCAGTGGATAAACCTATTTGTCTAATATCGACTCACTAAACTCCTAGTCTTTGATATTTGTGTTAACCATCTCAAAGGTGATTTTTCCTTCAGTGATATATTCCACACACACACACACAACACACACACACACACAAATAAATAGACTAATTTGTATTCATACTCATCATTTTGATGTAGTAATGAATTATACACAGTAATATGACATTCGTCTCATCGACGTCGAACTCTACGCGTCTAGAAGGCGGCTGCATGAATTTCTTACAACTAAGGAGGTTAGAGGTGATGAATACTCATCGGTCGGATGCTTCTGTATCCCCAGAGTCGAACTAACATCACTCACTGTCGAAATTGAGAATAAGTTACTAGTGAGTTATTCACATCCTGAACGATTTAGTGATTGTCGGTAAAACTGAAAGCAGCCGGTATACTTTTATTCTGTAGTTGATCTATCCCAGTGGAGAGTTTTGCAAGTGAAACAAGATAAAAACACATTTATTCGTCGTCATACTTTTGTATTACCTCAGCTTTTATTTAACTGTGACAATAGGCTGAATACAATGTAACTAATTTGTTGTATTATTGAAAGTTTGACGAAGGCATTTCACAAATAAGTAGACGTCTTCAAAACTGTTATACAGTGGTATTGGTGAAATACGTAGGAAACTTGGTTTTCGGTAATCACATATGGCACCCAACTGTAGGAGATTCTCATAAACTTTCTCGACATTAGCGAAAGTGAAACTCAATGTCAACTGTGCACCACGTTCACTTGGATTGGATGGTGTCACCAGCTGATATTGATTGTTTGGAAGAGCTAATGGACTTTTGTAATTAAGTATTCAAGGTAATTAGTCAATTGTATTGACTTTTCTCTCAAACGATGCATACCTCCACATGATTTGACTATATCGAGACTGACCGTTAAGGCGGCTGCCAATAGTAATGGAGGATTAGATATTCGATAGGCATCAGCGCCTTTCGCTAATTCCATATGGCCAGTAAGATCAAGTCGTGTCTCGGATCGATGACTCCACCAACCGGTCAACTGTGGACCATAATTTCATTGTGAATACCATTAGTGTTGTTCTTGGTGTTGTTGTTGTTGTTGCTATTGCTATTGGACTCAATAAATTTCGGTCCATAACTGCCTTCTTGATGATGATGTCTTTCATGGACGAATAAACCACCTATAGCTCCTGGACTGCCATTCAAGTATTTGTATGAACACCATACAGCCATATCAACATTCCAGTCGTGTAAACGGAGGGGCACATTACCGACAGCATGAGCTAAATCCCATCCAACTGGACATTGTGAATATTCATGACCCCATTGAGTAATTTCCTCCATGTTGAATAACTGTCCGGTAACATACTGTACTCCCGGTAACCAAATCAATGCAATTCGATGCTGATTCTGTTTAATCGCTTGTAGAATATCTTCATTTCTCAAACAGTACTCATTGGCACGTGGTTTAATCTTGATAATGCACTCGTCTGGTGTTAAACCATGCCAATTGATTTGTGATTCTAAGACATACAGATCACTTGGGAAGATTCCATCTTCAATTAGGATGCAGTTTTTATCGCCTTTTGGTCGGTAAAATTTCGCAATCAACATGTGCATATTAACTGATAGATTACAAGTGATGCTAACTTCACTTGCTTGAGCATTGACAATCCATTGAGCACAATCGATTGACAATTGTTTATCACAATAGGATGCTGGAAGCTTACCATAATGATAGGCTAAAACGCCTAAATCTCTCCACTCATTTAATATACTGTCCAGATAGGCTTTCAAGCGTGTTGGTTGCAAACCCATTGAATTTCCACAAAAGTAGAGAACCCGTTTCGGGGAATCACTTGCATCATTTCCTCGACTAGTGTTGTCAGATTTCGACTGAATCACTTTCATCACTTCATTGTAATCTGGTAGATGAAATTCGGATCGATAGGAGTGTAGTGAGTCATTCTTGTCGAGTTCTAAAGCGAAGTCGATTGAGTTGATATCCACTTGATAATCATTAGCCAACAGTTTCAACTGCTGTTCAGCATAGCATGTGGCCATTCTTTGTGTTCGGTGTGTTCTCGCGTTGTTTAATAATTGACCGATTCTTATCAATTGTTGTCCTTTTAAGCAGTCAGTATTTCAACGCGATTGGCAGTGACGATTGATTTTATCAACCAATCATTTGAGAAGAATCCAGCTGGGTAGATATCTTTGATTGGTTGAGAGTGGAAGACGACCTCACCCTCTGACCCCTTCAATAGGATTGGCGATTCACTCGTATAGTTAATGCTCCATTCATACATAAAGATTATTATACATTCATCCATTTTTCATGTATGGTGTTCGTTCCCTTAACCACTGACATGAAAACAAAGTGTGTAACTCATTCGAAACTTTTAATTGGCTTATTAGTGCACAAAGCACATTTCTTTTCGATAACTGTCTTCTCTTAAGGTTCTACAATTATGTATCCATGATCGTGAGTGAATAATTCTGATTGACATCTACAACAACAACAACAACAACAGCAATAACAGTTTTTAGATAACATCGAGACACTGACATCAAAATTCGACGACGATTGTGGGAATAGATAGTTATTAGATCATAGTCACAAAAAAACATGTGTGTGTATGCATGTGTATGTGATAATATGCATAAAAATAACATTCAATTTAGAACAGACTACCTCAAAACTAATCAATGAACACAATAGTTGATGCTCATGTTAATGTCCATATGTCATTCTATTCAGGCTATTTATTTGTAAAGTTCATGTGACTGAACGAATGATACTATGAGGAAAAAAGAGGGGGATAAAATGAGTTAGAGAGTGATGTATGTGTGACAGTGTGACGTGATTCAGTATTTATGAATTTGTTCATTGAGTGGTAGGCCAGGCTACCAATGGTAGCTGATCTTGTTCAGTTTGTACACTGAGTTTTGGCTGTTTTTAGCGAGTTGTTATGGCTTCCGCTGCTGTTTTGAGTATTGGCTACTTATTGGCTTCAGGTGGCTTTTTATTCAGTACACGACAGACGACAGAGAAGGATTCTCCTATGCTGGCGTTATCGTCTGATTGCATCAGGTGTGCTAATATCGAGCTGTTAATGGTTTTTATATGACACCCTTATTTCGTCACGCTAGTGAGTGAGTGTTCCCGAGTACGAAAAATGAAGCTGTCAGAACAACGACTGATGCAACTGGGTGCAAAGGTACAGTGGATTCGACAAATACTGGTGGAAGTGGCCTGACTAATCTATGACTGCGTTCCACTGAACAAACAGCTGATATAGTTTCAATTCAATCCGTTTCTAGCATCCCTGAGGAATACGTCTATCTCGATTGCATCATCATCTCCATCTGATTGTCTCATGGATGAATCATGGAAATGTAACTGATTGTCTCACTCACATTCCACTGTGAAACTGATGTCTCCGTACACAACACAATGTAGAGACTTTGAAATAATTCACACGCGTGGTCCATGTCTTCACAGACTACATATTTGATTTCATATAGCTACTAAACGCTTTCTTATATATTATCACGCGATTTCATTCCCGTATGTTTCTGTGTTAGTAAAACCTTTTAGTAGAACATTAGCCAAATGTCTTCTCGACTATTCGCCTAAACTGATTGGGAATAGTTAGTATCTTTCCATGTGTGTTGTGATCGTCATTTCATTGGAACTATCTTGCAAATCGATGTAGATTCTCGCAAATAGCAAACAACTTCCACCGGTGTTCAGATTTCTAGGATTTGTGTGGATTTTGTATTAATTTCAAACGTAAGATTTTTCTCCATTATGGATAAGATTTTATTCTGATAAATCACACAGTGTTGTACAGATTTTTCTTTTTGACTAATGTCAGTTGAAGAAATCATTGAGAACCAGAGGGTACCGGTTAGCTTGTTAGCTCTTTTTTTGGGAATCTTCATTAGTGAACCCCCATGACGCCTTCCGGCGATAAAGTTGTAATTCAGGGGTGATTGAATTCCAGCACAACATTTACCTGAATGCTCGAAGAGTTTGGTCTCGTAACGTGAAAGTGGTAGATTGGATCTCTGTGGGATTCGTGGATGCGCATTACTGAACAGTCCCAAAATAGAACTATATAGCTGTCAAGTGCTTCCTGCTTCGCAATAGTCTCTTTCTCTCTAGCTAACTGGTGTTGGTTTGTGACAAACGTCTAACTACTATGATTTTGTTATAGTTTCCGATTTCGCAACTAGAAGCACTGGCTGATGGATGGATTTTTGGTGCAACCTGGCCCTAAACAATCTGTTTGCTCTTATTACATCATCATGATAGTCAGTCTTAATGATCAGTAACAAATAACATCAGGGACAGACAACTTAAGGTGTATATTATTTCCGAATCATCCTTTCGGATTATCATGTTTCCTTTATAACCATCAGAAGACACTTCAAATTGGAGATCGTATGATATGAATATCGGTTTGCATTTGAAAATACGCTTCACTTTAGTTGGTGGATTGCTATTACTGAATGACAAATATGACAACTAGGGAGAAATCAGAATAGAGTTTTAAACGAGGATTGTGTAAAATTGTTAATACCAGTGACTTGCTGTAAAATGAATAAGTGAGATGAAACGAATATGCCTTCTCAAGGTCTACACTTTCAACTCATCTCAGTGTTCTAACAACTTGACTGGAAGTCAACGGAATAAGTAACTATTCCAAGTCAAACTGACTTCAATCGAATCAGGGTCGCTGTAAGTGTTTGTTTACTCAGTTCCTTTATTCCTTTATTCTACAAAAACAAACAGTTTCATACACCTTTCATACACTTTCATAGAATGGCGAAATAATTTGTCTGAAGTGTTTAACATGTCTACACTGATGTGTATTTCGTATTACAGTGAAGTAGTCTGTAATAATAATAATGACAATGACAATTACCCAATATTATTTCAGGTCAGGTTTAGTTCCAGTAACAATAAGAATAAATTTGTAATTTGAATTATTAAATTTACTGCAACTATCATCATCATTACATCGAACTGGTTACCTCTTGTACACACACACACACACACATAAAACAGACATACATGGTCAGCCGAAAACAAACAATCAACCAAATAAACAAATAATGAGTGTTTCGGGGTCAGTGTAACATTTTAAGAAGGAGAAGTCGAGAGACAAGTGAGGCAGGTGTTACAGGATGACGTCATTGAAGAAGCCAGCAGTCCGTACAACTCTCCAATTCTTCTAGTGAAGAAAGTGAATGGGAAGTATAGATTCCGCATTGATTACCGACTGCTAAACAGAATGACAGAGCTGAGGCCTCGGGCCACCCCAACTGTATTAAAGACATAGATCATCTGCAAAGCGAAAATTCGTTTACAGTGCTCCACATCCAGTCAAGATATTGACAAATACCGACAAAACAGAATGACGGAGTTGAGATGGCGTTCATAGTAGGTCAAAAACTCTATCGGTTTAAAAGCATGTCATTTGGACTAGCACTTTTCACCTTCAGACAACTGATTACCAATGCTGTTACTTAGATACTTGAAGAATGTGGAGGTGTACGGTGATGATCTCGTCATTTGCAGTCAAAACGAAAGCGATTATGTCATCCGTGTCGAAGCCATCTTAGGACGCACTGAAGAGTATCGGCTGAGCATCAACAAAACAAAATCTGAGATATCCAAACGCCGTGTCAAGCTGTTGGGTGATAAAGTAGGCGACAGTGAGATAAAACCGCTTCCGGAAGAAATCTTGCTGATATAGACCATCACGACTCTGAATTCCAAGAGGAAGGTAAGGGCAGTTCCTCCGGGGTGAGCAGCGTTTCATAGTCCATTTGTTAAAACTTCAACGAGATAGCGGCCACCTAGTGAGTTTATTAGGTGATTCGAAGTTTCTTTGGTCGGAAGATTCGCAGAAAACACTCGACAGTACCAAATGGATTTTAGACCACCAAAAAATGACTCTAGAACTGATTGTACCAGGAAAACAGTTCACAGTGTGCACAGATGCAAGTGACTACGGTATAGGCTCAGTATTTAGACAGGGTGAAGCAGTGGCCGTATATGCCAGTTGTGTTTTAACACACACACACAGAACAGAAGTATTCAAAGGCAGAGAGAGAATGTTTAGTAATGGTATGGACAGTAAACAAATGGAGTCCGTATTTACTCGGCCAACGGTTTCACATTGTAACTGATCACAAGCCGCTACAGTTCCTGAAGACGGTGAGCGACCCAAGTGGGAAATTGTCACGGTGGATTTTTCACCTGCAGGAGTATGAATTCACGATCTCACGCGTTCCCGGCAAAGAAAGTTTCTTGGCAAACATTTTATCTACACACAGAGAGACGAAGCTGAGTTACCAGAGATTGTTTACGGAGTGTATGCATTGGAGCAAGACTCATTAAGACTTGCCAGCACTCAGATATCAGACCACACCCTGAATACGGTCATACAGCTGATCACTAACGGAACAGAAGTGTTACAACAACCTATGGCGAATGGAGACCTGACTATGCTATTCAGACGGAAAATCGATTGAGACTGAACGTCGTAGGAAATCTGATTTGGCGAGAGAACGATGGAAGTTGGTTGACCATAATACCTCATTCTCTACTCCATGAGATGATACAAGAATATCATAGCACACCTAGCACATACACGAGTGGTCAGAACAACCCACCTCCTCAGACAAATGAGTTACTGGCGAGGTATGAGAGATGTGGCGAAATATATGCTTGGATGTCCACAGTGTCAGTTGATGAGAGGAGATTGGTGCATACGACGGCCTATGCAGTCAATTGCAGTTATGTCAGTAGTTGACTTGTGGTCCGTAGATGTAATGGGTAGGTCTCTAGTAGCAGACATCCAGTGTCAACCAGTACCTCTTGGTGACATAAGTATAAAACTTGGGCACTGTGGTAGAGTATAAGTCCATTTTGGATAAGATTTTATTTCAATAAATCACACAGTTAATATATTACTGTGTATAATTCATTACTACATCAAAATGATGAGTATGAATACAAATTAGTCTATTTATTTGTGTGTGTGTGTGTGTGGAATATATCACTGAAGGAAAAATCACCTTTGAGATGGTTAACACAAATATCAAAGACTAGGAGTTTAATGAATGGATATTAGACAAATAGGTTTATCCACTGAAATTGTCTAGCTACCAGGACAGTCATACGAATATTCACAACAGGTGACGACTACACATAATATGATGATGATGGTGATGAGCATATTATGACAACAAATCTGACCCATCATCAGTTGGGGTATTGTGTGCTTGACCTGCATATCTCATGGTATACACAAGACAACATACACAATAACTACAGTCAATATGGTTTCTACAGTGAGCGTTACAGGTAGTGCAATAT